CTACACACACACACACACACACACACACACACACACACCCGGGGGAATGGCCACATCACAATCCCTTCTCCAGTCTCCTCTCAGGATTTTGGGCATGAACGCACACATGCTGATGTGAGTTTCAAGCCTCTGGGTCCAGGACTCAAATCATGGTCAGCCACGTGGGAGGCCAACACCTTAACCACTATGCCACCTCCTGGCTCCCTCAGTGTGATTTTTAAGCCACTGAGTCTGAGACGCAAACCACAAGGTTGACCATGTAAAATCCAGCTCTCTTAACCACCGGGCCATTGACTGATGCCCCTCCACCCCCGCCACCAAGTGTTTAATAGCCATTCATTGATCTCAAGATAGAACTTGGAGTGGTCCCTTTTTATACCCACAAGTCCTTGCCCTCTCTTGTGCTTTCACTGTGTGCTGTGTCAGGCCAAAGTCTCCAATTAAGGGTTGTAACCTCATCTAGTCATCCTGGTAGCTCCCATCCACAAAGCAGAGGGCATATTTAGTGCCCTCTGATTATTTGTTAAATGACATTCCAGCTGCTCTTACTGTGTAACAAACCACCCTCAAACTGTCATTAAAACCACTATTTCATTATGCTCTCAGATTCCCGGGGCCAGTCATTTGGAGAGTGCCCAGCAGGATGGTTTGTTATGTTCTGTGATATCTGGGGCCTCAGCTGGGAAGATTCAAGGCTCTAGGCCACTTGATGGCAGGACGCTGTAATTCTTTGGAGCAGAGGTATGCTGGAGCTAGCTGTAGAGCCAGTGGACACATCTTTTCCTGGATTCATGTTTGCAGTTGTCATAGGGCTAGCTTTAAATCTTGAGCTCAGTCACAGGAGGAGTACTTATACCCTGAAGACTGGCAAACACTACAAATCAAAGCTTTGTGTTGTTTTGTTTGTTTGTTTGTCTGAGAGCCAGTTTAACCGGATAACAGTGATCTGGAGGTGTCATTATTCATGCGATGGCTATTGGCTGGGATCTCAGCTGAGTCAGATGACTGTGCAATTGCTTTACAAGTGCTAGTTTGTACCTCACAGCATGGTGGTTAGATGCAGGCAGTGAGCAGCCCAGAACATCAGTCAGAAGCAGTATTGCTTTTTTTTCTGTCACCCGGTTTTGGAAATCACACAGTGTGACTTCTGCCTTAGTCATGAGCCTATGAAGAGTCAAAGGGCAAGAATGAGACCCCACCACTCGGTGTCAAAGCCACATTGTAAGAAGAGGGTATGGGATAAGAGATATTGCTGCAGTCTTCCTTGGAAAATATGGCCTGCCACAGATAAATATATCCGGCAACTCTCCACTTTCTGTAGTTCATTTCCTACTGCAGGGAATAAAATAGTTTGAGACCTTCCAGATCAGTTTTCTATGCCTCTTTAATTGGTTATGCCAGCTGGCACCATTGGTAAGCTTGTGTATTAGGTCAATAGAAACCTCTTTTTCTTCCTTTCTGCCTGCTCTTTTCTGCTTCATTACTGTAGCACTTGCTAAATCTTTCATAAACGGTGTGAGAGACTGGGAAAGTTTGAGGGAAGTCAGTCTCTCCAGGCCTTGGAGAGGTATGTCACGCATGTAAAGGGAGCTCTATCACCTGTCCTCACGGTCATTCAGACGATTACGAGGATGAAAGGACAGGTTGGATGAGAGGGTGCACTGAGAACTATAAAGTGCTATGGAGGACAAATGGTTGCCGAGAGAGAACAAGCGGAGCGAGAGTTCCAGGAGAGAAAAGAGGTCACTGGGTGTTAGCTCTGAATAACCCACAACTGTGGGCTTTTTATTCTGATTTCGAAGGAAAAGTGCTTTCCGCCTTTTAATAAAAAGACTTGTTTTGCAGGCAGTCCGTGCCTTTGTGGCCCAGAGAGTACCCTGAGAATGCCAGGAGGTGTCTGTCTACTTGTTTGATAATAAAACTCTGCCTACAGACTTTCAGGAACGACCACATTTAGTAAATCTTCCTTTTATAAATATCTTTTGTTTGTATAGCGTTCCAGGGAGAGGGGTTCGGTTTTAGGGTCACTGTGCACAAAGTCAAGGCTATTACCAGCTATAGCCTTCTTGGAGATCTTTTCTAAGTTCTTTACTCTCCAAGGTTAAGTGTAAAGAAAGAGACCAGCAGTTACTGTAATGGCTATGTCGCTGGACTCCCAGGTAGTACACCGCAGTTCACGTCCCAGACCCGGTGGCTTAAACTCATGTCAGGCATGTGTGCGTATGTACCCAAGATCCTGAGAGGAGAATGGAGGAGAAGGGATTGCGGTGTGGCCATCCTCCCTGGGGGGTGATTTCTCAATCTCTGACTCTTTGTCTCTCTCTGTCTGGCGAGTGCAGAACCTCTCCAAAAAAAAAAAAAAAGAAAGAAAGAAAGAGTAAAGCCTTTCTGTCTAAGGGGCTGTATAAAATTTTTGCAAGTTCCTCACTTAATAAGCCTTGAGATCTCCCAGGGAAAAGCTGGTACAGACGTACAGTGTGTTCTAGCAACCCCTCTTTGATAAGGCACCTGCTGTAAATATGAGCTTTTCCTCCTCCAAGTCTATCCTGATCCTCATACTCCCACCCCTCCCATCTCAAAGGGAGCGCTTCTCCCTGTGAAGTCACTGAGAGCAGAGGCTACTCACCTTTCTCACTTCCCAGTTCCCTCAGCAACTACTTACAGCACCCCTAGGCAAAAACAAACACCTAATGGAGCTACGTATTAAGCAGTTAGATCCAAACAACTTAATACATATTTAAGCCCTAATAACTTAGTAGTCATGTGAAACACCAATGCATATATTGAAAGAAAAATTGATTTCATTTTAAAGTAAGCACGATTGCTAACTAATTGGATGTGTGTGCCTGTCGGGTGCTGCCCAACTTCTCAAACCTCAGAATCAGATTGGACACTCTCTGTCATTTCCTATCCCTTGCTGGATTTTGCACAATGCTTGCCCTTTGTCACAGCAGCTGATGAAAACTTAGGTTTACAAAGACATAGTGTCATAGAAAGGAGTATAGCGTGGTCTAAGGTTGAAACTGTGAACCACCTGGAGCTGGTAGTTTGTGTATGTCCAATACATTCTAAGTATACAATATGTTTCCCTTAAAAAATAAAAATCTTATTATAACCCTGCGCATTCGCTGCAGCTCCCCAGAATGCCTCAACTTGTAGTCTGGCCCTAGAGCTTTTCTATACTTCTGATGAAAAAGAATACATCCTACCCTCTATGACAAGTTATTTGCAGGCACCTATTATGTCTCCTGGTAGAGTCCTTCAAAGGTCAGAAGCATGTCTGATTTATCTCTGTGTCCTCCATAGCACTTCTCAGTAACAGTAACTAGCACTTACCAAGTACTTACCAGATCCAGAATGTCCGTGGGTCCATTGGCTGGGTGAGTGCTTAGCCATGCACTTCTTGGGACACTATTCCATCTCACCCAGCATAGCAGCTGACACCTAAAGTCCCTATTTTACTTGAATGAATTAATAAATTTGCATATACATAACTTGGGCCATACTTTGATTCAGGCCAAGAAAGCAGAATGCCATCAGGCTGATAGATGCCTCTACATATCCAAGGTGACGACGTTGAAGCATAGCATTGTAGAGTAGCTCTGCCACCTACCTCTGACCTCAGCAAGTAGTTTAACTGCTATAAACTTCTGGTTTCCTAATCTGCAAAATGGGTTAATAGTACCTTGCTCAGAGGAGTATAATGAGGGTTAAATGAGATCTTGTCTGCATAAAGTCTTTTTTTTTTGGAGAGGTTTTTGTTTGTTTGTTTGTTTTTTTGTTTGTTTGTTTGTTTTTTGCTATAGGGCGCGTGCATTCGCCAGACAGACAGAGAGAGACAGAGAAACAGAAAGCAAGAAATCACCCCCCAGGGGGGATGGCCATGCCGCAATCCCTTCTCTTCCATTCTCCTCTCGGGATCTTGGGTACCCCACGCACATGTGCCCGGTGTGATTTTAAGCCACTGGGCCTAGGACTCGAACCGTGGTCAACTATGTGGGAGTCCAGCGACATAGCCATTACACTAACTGCTGGTCCCTTGCATAAAGTCTTTGAAGAACATCAAGGTGGGATGCCTTGAGGGATTATGGTTCAGCTGTGGATAATGTAGATACCATTAATGGCACGCTCCTATTCTACACCTCTTCCTGGTAGGGCTGAAGGACGAGGCTGAGGCTGAACAGAAGACAGAGTTGTGTGGGAGGTGAGAGTTATAAGTAGCTATTTTTGTTCCCCAAGTGGCCATTCTCTAGGCATAGAGTGAAATTCCCTCTGGAGCTGCACTAATGGACACATTAGTATCAGTTGACAAAGTACCATATGCTCTGAAATGTTCTCCCATTAAACTTCATGGAAGTGGCAGGAATTCATGGTCCATTACAGGGTATCTGCCGTGACTTTAGCCTCCAGTAAAGCACACTGTTAGATCTCCTAGTCTCTGGAAGGTCAGGCTATGTCCCAACTATGTGATGAGTCCAAGACATCATTTATTTTAAGACAAAGTCTGTAAACAAAGTTATCCTTGTCTGTCAATACTGAATTCATAAAAGCATCTTCTGTTTTTGGAAAAAAAATATATTTTAACAATGGATTATATTGTGAACACTCTTGCTATTTGGTTTCAAGCTAATTGGAATGTAAAATTGTCATGAATCATTATCCAAATTATGAAAATTCATCATAGGGCTGGCGCCATGTTCTAGTGGTTAAAGAAGCTGAATCCAACATGGTCAGCTTGGTGGCTTGAGAAGTATGCCCAGGCATGTGTTCATAAACGCCCAAAATCCCAGCAGGATGGAGAAATTATCACGGTGTGACCATTCCCTATTGTGGGTTCTTTCTCCTCTCTCTCTCTTTCTCTGCTGAGCTTATATGCCCCTGGCAAATTAAAAAAGAAAAGGAATAAAAAGAGAAGTCCATCATGTCTGTGTTATTAATAAGTACATGGTTTTCATAACTTACCATGTCACAGTAAAAGTGCTTCTTTGCAAGAAATATCATGCTCGCTTTGGCAGCACATAGGCTAAATTTGAACGGTACAGAGAAGATTAACATGGCCCCTATGCAAGGATGACACCATATTTCTGCTGTCTCAGACTGAAAAAAAAAAAGTATTATTTCTAGTTTAAAACATGTACTTACTTCTTTTATGAAAGAGGGAGAGAAGCACATCCCCAACACACCACGATCCATGACTAACCTTAGTCACCCTTGGAACTTGAACTGTATCGTTCAGCAACATTGTGTTACTATTGCACCCTCACAGCTGCCAAGAGGTATCATCTCTATTTTCTTTTTTTTTTTTAAAGAGATTTTTGTTATAGGGCATGTGAGCTCACTGGAGAGACAGAGAAAGACAGAGAGACAGAAAGTAAGAAATCACCCCCAGAGGGGATGGTCATGCTGCAATCCCTCCTCCTCCGTTCTCCAGTCGGGATCTTGGGCACACACGCACACATGCCTGGCATGAGTTTTAAGCCACTGGGTCCAGAGTTCGAACCTCAGTTGACTATGTGGGAGTCCAACGACATGACCATTATGTCATCTGCTGGTCCCCCAAAGTAGCATCTCTTTTAATATCAATATGTGCATAAAGGGGAATGAATAGAAAAAAGGAAGAAAGAATGACCCAAGGCTCCCATATCCAGAAAGAAAAGTCAGTTGTAAGTGTCAAGGTCTGGGAATCCCAAAATATATATTTTGCCTTTTATTGAATGTCTGTAATACCCAGACCCTAGTCTCAGTGCTTTATCTATATTATTTCATTTAATCCTTGCAACACCCATCAAGGACAGTACTATCTCCATGTTATGATGAGAAAATTGAGAGGTTACATTATATGTTCAAGGTCACCAAGCTAGCAAGGGTTAGAGCTGGGATTCAAGCCACATCTGACTCCATTGCCCAAATCCTTTCTAAAACATTCTTCTCGCTCAAAGAATAGGCTGAAACACACTGTCACAGTACACAGTACATAGTAACAAAACATGAATAAAGCCTTGTTTTTAAGAAAATCTAGGTTATCTTTTTCTCTCCTTATCCTACACTGAAGATGAAAGAGTGCCCGTGACACTCTCCTGTGCCTATAGCCCCTCCATGTCCTGTTACCAGAACTTAGGGTCATAATAGCTGGAAGGGAGCCAGCTAGTGCCACCCCACACCCTCCAGTTTCCTTCATTCAGGTTTCCTTGCTTATACCTGTTTTCTATATTGGGCTTCTATTTGCTAATATTTGAGTTGAATAAAGGATTCTACTGGCTCAGGAACTAACACTGATGTGGTCCACTTCTCTGTTTTATAGATATCAACACTGACTACGAGTAGGCTTGATCAGAATCAACCAGAAAAGCAAGACAGGCTCTTTTCTCTTTCATATTTTAATTTCTGGATCACAATAGAGAAACTTGACAAAAAGATAACCACCAAGAGAAATATGCTCCAAAGCCTTTCTAAGCTGTTGACTGAACAAGAGTTGGTGTCAGAATCAAATTTAAATTTGACTTCATTGCCTTCAAACTGGATAATCTTGAGCAAATTGCTTCACTCTGTCAAGCTCTTTCATTTGCAAAATGGACACCATCACACCTGCTTGTTGAAGTTCTGGCTATAAGTGATAATGTATCAAAAATACCTAGGAGCCAGCAGGTGGTGGGGTGGTTGGGGGACTAGATTCCCAATAACACATAAAATAAAATAAATAAATCTTAATACTACTACTACTAATAATAATTAAAACCTGTGGCCCAGCTGTAGTGACACATACTGCTACAATGCTGTGCTCTGCAGGCTGAGACCAGATGGGAGTCCCAGGTTTGATTCCTGATCCAACCTGAAAACATGAGTGCAGTGACATGACATGCACCTGCAATCCTAGCAACTCAGAAGACTCGTGAGGCAGGAAGATTATGAGCTGGAGGTTGGCGGGCAACATAGTGAGACTCCATCGGAAAAAGTCAGGTATGGTGGAGGCAGGAAGATTGTGACACAGAGAGATCCTATCTATTTTATTTATCTTTTTCTTAGATTTTTGAGGGCATATTCACTCATCAGAGAGAAAGAGAGAGCAAAAGTGAGAAATCATCCCCAAGGTGGATGGCTATGCTGCAATCTCTTCCCATTCTTCTCTCAGGATTTTGAGCATGCACACACGCCCAGTGTCTTTTTCAAGCCACCCAGTCTGGGACTCAAACTGTATAGTTGATCATGTGGAATTCAGCCACCTTAACCATCATACCACCTACTGGCCCAAAAGATCCTATCTTAAAATAAAACACCAAATAAGCCCCTAGCATATGATAGATGTTCCCTCTCATCCTCAGAGCCTTCCCATAGCCAGTTTTCTTTGCTGTGGGAGCTTTATCTTCCCTTTCCCCTTTGAGTCGCGAACTTGAACTCATTCTTTTTTTTTTGAGAGGTTTTTGCTACAGGGCATGTGTGCTCCCAGAAAGACAGAGAGAGACAGAGAGACAGAAAGCAAGAAATCACCCCCTCAGGGGGAGATGGCCACACCTCAATCCCTTCTCCTCCTATCTCCTCTCAGGATCTTGGGCACGCACACACACGCACCCAGCGTGAGTTTAAGCCACCGGTCTGGTACTCGAACTGTGGTCGACTACATGGGAGTCCAGTGACACAGCCATTACGCTAACTGCTGGTCCCACTTGAACTCATTCTTTACTTCCTTTATTATTCAAGCCCTACCACTAACTAGTTGAGTGACCTTGGAAAAATTAGCCATAGTTTCTTAATTAATAAGATCAAATACTAACAATATATGGGTTATTAAAATGAGATAAAATAAACTAGTTAGAACAGTGCCTAATACATATTATGTCTTCAGTAATTCTGTTATTTATTCCTTTTTTCCAAGTTTATTTTCTTCTGTTGCTCAGATTAGGCAATTTTTTTTTTCTTTTTGAGAGGTTTTCGCTATAGGGCGCGTGCGCTCACCAGACAGAGAGAGACATAGAGACAGAAAGTGAGAAATCACCCCCCAGGGGGGATGGTCACGCCGCAATCCCTTCTCCTCCATTCTCCTCTCGGGATCTTGGGCACGCACGCACACGCGCCCGGCGTGAGTTCTAAGCCACCGGGTCCGGGACGTGAACCGCGGTCAACTACGTGGGAGTCTAGCGACATAGCCATTACGCTAACTGCTGATTCCCAGATTAGGCAATTTTTAAAAAAATTATTTTATTTAACTTTATTTACTTATTTATTTTAATTTGATCAGAGAGGGGCCGAATGAAAGAGAGAGAGAGACTGTGAGAAAGCAAGCCGCCAGGTCCAGGACTTGAACTGTGGTCAGCCATGTGGTAGTCCAGTGCCCTTAACCACCATACCACTTCCCAGCCCACCCCTTCCCCCCCTTCTTTTTAAGAGAGAGAGAGAGAGAGAGGTTTTTGCTATAGCACACATGCAATTGCTGGAGAGACAGAGAGACAGAAAGTGAGAAATCTCCCTCCCAGGGGTGGCTACAATCCCTTCCTCATTTATCTCAGGACTTTGGGCATACATGCACACGTACCTGGCATAAGTTTTAGGCTTCTGGGTCTGGGACTTGAACTGTGAGTTTTAGGCTGCTGGGTCAAGGACTCGAACCAGGGTTGACTACTTGGGAGTTCCAGTGGGGTAATTGTTACACCATCTGCTGGTCCTTAGATAAGGCAAATTATATTGATCTGTCCTCAGGTACACTGATTTTATTTCTCGTTAACACCTCTCTATTACTGAGCATATCCAGTGAGTTTTTTATTTTTTAATTTTACTTTTTATTATTATTATTTTAATTTGCTATATGGCACATGCACTCACCAGAGAGAGCAAGAGAGTGAGAGGGAAAGTGAGAAAGCAAACTGCTAGGTCCAGGACTTGAACCACAGTTAGCCATGTGAGAGTCTAGTGCCTTAACCACCATGGCATCTGCTGGCCCCTATCTGGTGAGTTTTTTATTTTAATAGTTATATTTTCCAGTTCTACAATGTCTATTTTGGATGTTTTTTCACAACTTCTATTTTTTGCCAATATTTTCAGTTGTTTCAGAGAATCCATAATTGCTTTTTGAAACATTTTTGTGATGACTGCTTAAAAAACCTTATTAGAACTCCAACATATATAACCTGTGTATTTTGGCATCTCTTGGTTATCTTTCTTATTTGAGGTGAGATTTTTCTGATTCTTGGTATAGTGAGTTATTGTAAAGATTGTATCCTAGACAGGGACCAACAGATGACATAATGGTTATGTCGTGGGACTCCCACATAGTTGACTATGATTCGAGTCCCAGACCTGGCATCCTAAAAGTCAGGCTGGGCTCCTGTGTGTGTGTGTGCCCAAGATCCTGAGAGGAGAATGGAGGAGAAGGGATTGCAGCATGGCCATCCCTTCCCCCAGAGTGGGGGGCGATTTCTTACTTTCTGTCTCTCTCTGCCTCTTTGGTGAACACACTCTCCCTAGAGCAAAAATCTCTCTCTCTAAGAAAAATGATTGTATTCTGGACATCTGGGGTATTAATGTTTAATATTTTAGTTATTTGAACCTTTTATACTAGCAGACTCAACTGACGTTGTACTGGTAAGAGAAGAGGAGCACCGCCTATTATCAGTAGGTGGAGATGGAGGCCCAGGTGCTCCCTCCACCTCTGCTGACACTACCTTGGTGTGGACTGGGAGGTATGTCTTGCTACATCAGGACAGGGGTGAAAGTTTGAGCTCTCCACTCAGCCCGCACTGACCTGGGGCTGGAGAATAGGAGTAGTACTGCTGTGTGTAAATTTTTTCCTTTGGTGTTTGGCTAGAATAAGGGCAGGTATTGCCACAAAGTTTGTGTCTTGGTAGGCTTCCTTTCTCATTCCATCAAGTACTAAGATCAAGTTTTTCTTATCGTGTGTTTTGTCTACATCTATTGGCTTTTCTTAGTTATTAGCTTCTCTGGTGCCCAGTCTGGAACATATAGGAGGGAAAAGAAAACCTAAGGAATTTCTGGTCATGTTATTTCTTGAGCCCAGAGGTCCCTAACTGGTTTGTCTTCTCTTTCTACCATTCAGAGTCTTTTTATGGTTATTTTTTTTTATGAATTATGTTTAGAATATTTAGCAAGAAGA